AATGTCACGTGGTGAGGGAAATGTATGCCATCGACAACAAGTTTTCATTGAAAAGTGTGATGCTGGAGACTCTCAAACAAGATGTCGGCGGATTTCTCAAAGCGATGCCAAAAACAATTCCGCTTAAGTGGTTTGATTTCCAAAGTAAAATCCAGGAGATTGGTAGGACAGCAATACACATGACTTATGTTAAGGTATTGTACATTTGCATATAAACATAATTACCACCCTCAAAGATTTGAAATGCGTGAATACACAAGTTGGGTGGGAGGGCAGGGCCACGGGGGCGCCAGGGCCAATGGGAGCCAAGGGCAGAACCCCGATAGTGTCAGGTCTCCAGTCACATAATCAGTGTTTGGTTGAGGCAATGAATGCGCAAGACTACACGCGACTACAAGACTCCAATAAGTGCGTGGTTGGCTAGGTTCTTTTCATCGGGAATTTTCTTGATGAATCGATTCTTAAACAAGATACTGTAACGAAAGCTCTGTAATGACTCAATGTAAACTATATTTTATCGTATCTCTATTTCATGACATTAAGGTTTGTGAAGTTGCCACTAAGTGTGGAATTTCTGTAGAGAACCTCATTCACATCCTCAATTACCTACATGATCTTGGAATCATTCTGTACTTTGAGAACAACAGAATACTGAAGCATACAGTGATAATAAACCCACGGAAACTGATTGAAATCTTCAAGAAAATCATCACAGTGGTGGAAACTTATGACAGTGATAAGGTGAGTTAATTAGAAACTAAGTTTTCTTGATGAATTGATTCTTGAACAAGATACTGTGACAAAAGCTCTCGAATGACTGAATGTAAACTATATTTTATCGTATCTTTATTTCATTAAGTTTTGTAAAGTTGCCACTAAGTGCGGAATTTTTGTAGAGAACCTCATTCACATCCTCAATTACCTACATGATCTTGGAATCATTCTGTACTTTGGGAACAACAGAATACTGAAGCATACAGTGATAATAAACCCACGGAAACTGATTGAAATCTTCAAGAAAATCATCACAGTGGTGGAACCTTATGACAGTGATAAGGTGAGTTAATTAGAAACTAAGTTTTCTTGATGAATTGATTCTTGAACAAGATACTGTGACAAAAGCTCTCGAATGACTGAATGTAAACTATATTTTATCGTATCTTTATTTCATTAAGTTTTGTAAAGTTGCCATTAAGTGCGGAATTTTTGTAGAGAACCTCATTCACATCATCAATTACCTACAGTACATGATCTTGGAATCATTCTGCACTTTGAGAACAACAGAATACTGAAGCATACAGTGATAATAAACCCATGGAAACTGATTGAAATCTTCAAGAAAATCATCACAGTGGTGGAACCTAATGACAGTGATAAGGTGAGTTAATTAGAAACTAAGTTTTCAAGTATTCAACCTTATAAGCTGGCAGTCAGAGCAGAGGCAAATTGTTGTGGCCGGTGGCAGGCCGACACAATTTATTATTTCCATAAACACTCCATCCATTCCCTTTAATACAACTCATTATCTCTTGTCAAAATACGTTATGAAGACAGTATGATAGACCTTGTTTTTTTTTTAATAGTGCATTGGATTTTCAAGTATTACATCTATCTAATAGTTTTCCTCCACTTAACCAAACTGTAATTTTACTCTGAAATCTAAATGTGTCTTCAAATTCAGAAGCTTACTTTTGTAATATTACAAAGTTCTGAGGTGAAGTCACACTCATATTAAGGCTAATGTTAATGCACTACACATAAAATAAATACCATTTCTGTGGTAACACAAATGACATTCTATATTCATTGGCATATATACCACTCGTCTACATGTATACAGTATTATTGAAAATTCATATGTTCTGTTTCAGGTTGCTTGCATGACATTGACATGGTGATTATCTCAGAGTCTTGACAACGACTGGAAGAATTTTGGGATTTACTTAGGTTTGATAAGATCTGAAATAAATCGAATTGAATCAGATTTCTCACCACCAACTGTAGGCGCCTGTATTGAAATTATTATTATTGAAAAGACAGGAAGCTGAAGTAAATCATCTCGAAACAATTAGCGATGCACTGAACAAAATTGAACGAATGGATATCAAGGATGAACTATTAGTAACTATAATAGTTGGGGGGGGGGACCAGACCTGAGGCCAAATGTTCCCTGCTGGTGCCACTACGTATTATACATTTTAAAAGAATTTGAAGGCTTATCTCTTCAAACTTTGTTAACTTTCTCATGGTTAATAATCCTCATTTATTTGTTAATCTCTGTAGTTAAATTTCTGTAGTTAAGTTGCACACCCTTACTTGAGGTAGTGCCGCCAACTTAGCAGTGTACGGTAGAGGAGCCATAGGCTTATCCTTGGTGGAAGCTACCGGAGCCCAGCAAACTGACGCCATGTATACTGTAGTGATGGCGACACTATCTCAGAATCGGGGGTGCGCACTCTCCCTCCCCTTCGCATTCTTTTTTCTTTATTTCTTGTGGCTTCAAAAACGCCTTGAGATGGTTTTCTGTGGAAGGCGCTATATAAATATATGACCATTGACCATTAAATATGTTTGATAAATAAGCATTAATATCGAGAACATTATCTGCTGAGCAGAATCACTATATATCAGGTTTAAAATAATTCCTGAACTGAATTCTAGATAAATATTTTACAGTATTAATTTTGCTTAAACAACTTCGTACGAAATTACGTTGATGTTCCTGAGGTCCAAACTATTATGAGACATGACCGCAATATGCATGGAAACATTAGTGTCAATTTTTCTCTTGATATGAATATAAAATAATAATTTTTTATATTGATGCAAAAGAGTATTATGCAATTTCAAAGACATATATACATATACATACATATATACACATACATACACACACACACATACACATATATACACATTTATTTATTTATTATTTATTTATTCAACAATATTTCGAGAGGGTGACCCATTCAGCGTGAGCTGATTTTAAGGGGCCCTCGACAATACAAGAACATATTTACAAAAAACAAACATCAACAAGTTAAAAGATTATTTACAAGAAAAATTTGAGATGATAAAATTCTATAAAATACAAAGGGAAAACAATCAGTTTAAAAGTAGATAGAAAAAAAAGATTAAATTGTACTATTATAAAATAAATAACTTTTTAATTTAGTTTTAAAATTGGAAAATGTGCTAGAGTTTCTTATAGAGACGTCAAGTGAGTTAAAATATTTGGGACCTTTATATTTAAAAGAATGTTTAAAAAGTTTTCATTGAGGTCTTGGAACAATCAAAATCAGCACGTTGGGAAATAGTAGTAAGAGTGGAGATAGTGTTAAAAGTTGAATAGTAGGGGTAGTGTAAGGAACTTGAAGGATGGTCCGAAGGGCTCTGTTTTGCAGTTTTTTAATTTTAGAAATGTGGCTAGGTTTTGAACCCCACACAGTAATGCAATAATCGACATGGGGTAAGAAAAGGGAGTTGTAAAGAAGCAGAGCTGTTTGAAAGTTAATAAAGCATCTAGTTCGGGAAAGGAGAAAAATAGAAGAGTTAAGTTTGTTGCAAAGGTAAGAGATGTGGTTGTTGCAAGTGAGATTGCTGTCAATATAGACACCAAGGTGCTTAAAGTGACGTTTTCGATAGACTGCTGGTTGATAGTAAGTTTTATAGCTTGACTAAGTCTCTTTTTGAGATGATCCTATAAGCATAGCTTTTGTTTTTTTTATATTTAAGTGTAATTTATTTGCAGAGAGCCAGGAGAAAAGATTATTGAGATTGTTATTGAGCTTTTGTTGAATAAGGACAGATGATTTATTGGCTGTGTAAATAATAGTGTCGTCAGCGATCACGTTGGCAGAGCAATCATCAGTTAAACAGTTAGGGAGATCACTTATATAAATGGAGAAAAGAAGGGGACCAAGGATAGTACCTTGGGGATGCCTGTGCAAATGGGAGGAGAAGGGAAGAAAGAGAACAGTTAAATGAGACGCGTTGAAAGCGAGATGAGAGGTAGGATTCGAACCAAAGTTTTATCAGAAAGGCCAAAGAAAGGAAGTTTTTTGAGCAGGATAGAGTGGTTAATAGTGTCGAAAGCTTTTTGTAAGTCGATAAAGACAGTGCCAATATGGTTTCCGTGATTGATGTATTGAAGCCAGGTGTCATGAGCATTAATAAGAGCAGTAAGAGTAGAATGAGTAAATTGTTTTTCGGAGAGAAGTTTATTAGAGTTAAGGTAATGGTAAAGTTGAGAATGAATGGCTTTTTCGAGGATTTTAGAACAAAGAGGAAGAACAGAAATAGGACGGTAATTAGAAAGTTCGCTTTTGAGGCCAGACTTAAAAATAGGATAGACTTGAGAGATTTTCCAAAGAGAGGGGAAATTGGAAGATGAAATAGAAAGATCGAGAATATAGGTAAGTGGTCGAGCAATAACGGGAGCTGCTAGCCTAAGGAGCTTACCATCAATCCCATCCGGGCCAGTGGACTTACCAGGATTAATTTTAGAAGGTTCCCGTAATACAAATTCTTCATTAATTTCCTTGAGGTTGAAGTCCCGTAGATGTGTTTGGTTGGTATATGTACAAGGGTCGACGTTTGCGTTAATATCGTGGTGAAGACTACAAGCGACATTGACGAAGAAATTATTAATGCATTAGCAATAATACAGGTGTCAGTAACATTATTACTGTTGATATTAAAGTTCACAGAAGTTTTTGTGGACTTTTTTGAGGGTAATATGTCCTTAAGTCCTTTCCACAATTTCTTTGGATTTCCTAAATGTTCGTTTATGTGCTGTTTATAAAAGTCCGCTTTAGCCTCACGGCACATTTTGGTGACTTTATTTCTCATTGAGCGGAATTTATTGAAGTCTTCCTCAGTTCTTGTTCTTTTTGCCTTAGACTTTAGGTAGTCTCTGTGATGAAATTTCTCAAATATATCGTGACGATTTTGTAGCCGTTTCGGTAATTTGAATCTACAAGTGACAAAAGAGGCGTGCTTGTTACAAATACTGGAGAACATTTCAGTCCATAGAGACAATGCAGCATTAACGTCAGTAATGCTTTGAAGGTGTGACCTTTGAAGGTGCGACCATGGTTGTTTCTGGAGATCTGACAGAAATAAATTAGTAGTAAATTTGTTAAAATTGCGGAAAGTTTTTGAAAAGTACTTGTTCTTGATAACCTTAAAATTTAAGTTTTTATAAATAAAATCATGGTCACTAATTCCACATGGCATAGCACAGGTATTCTGGTGAAATTGCGGACATGACGTTAAAATAAGATCAATGAGTGATTGCGTATTATGGGTAGTCCTCATCGGTTGTTCGATTAATTGTAAAAGGTTAAACAAATCCATAGTTGCAGTAAGTCGATTTTTATTAGGTGAGTTCGTCAGAAAATCAAATGTTAAAATCTCCTAATAGAATAATGTTAGAGTAGACAAGGATCCACGAGTTCAAGTTGTTCTCTAGAAGGGTAAAGAAGTCAGCGGTTGCGTTTGGGGGTCAGTAGATGTTACCCGCCATACACTCAATATTATCGTGCGTCAGTGATACTTCCGAGTAATCCAAAGAGTGATGCAAATACATCGCCACGCCTCCGCTTTCCTTGTTCTATCCTTTCTTATCAGCGTATAGTTTGGAATGCGTAGTTCATGGTCGGATATGGTTGGACAAAGTTTAGTTTCCGACAATGTTAAAACATGTAATGCTTTGTTCGATATAAAAAAGGATATTAGGTCACGTTTGCTTAGAAGGCTATTGACGTTCAAGTGACCGATGCGCAGGCCTGAATGTTGTTTGATGTTGGTGTCGACGACGTTGGCAACACTGGCATGAACATCATTTTGATTGTTTCTAGGTCCTGGATTTGATTCGATGTCACCATCATTGAGCAATGTAATATTAAAAGTAGCCTGGCAATTTTCGTAATAATGTATTGGACAAGAACCGAACTTCGTCTTTCTTGATCCTTTACGCGAAGGTTTCGCTCCACTGGCTTCATTGTAATACCACATAAAGGACTCACTGTTCCGATGAAACAAACTCTTGTTGCGTTCATTATCATAAAGACAATAGACAGGTAAATTCTGCTCGTTAGACAAAAGCAGGTAGAATGATTTACTGAGCAACAGGAATGTTATGTTTAGGAGAAGCATCGCTGAGGTGTTCAGTCCCGCTCGAGGGATGTTTTCCTGAGAGGCACAGTCCGTTTGCTGAATTGTACGGGCCTAGCATTAGTTGGTGTGTGTGACGTGATGTAAAATAGGTTAAATACCTTAAACTCAGGATGAGGCCGACATATGCCACCGATCTGAAGGTGTAAATTCAAATAAATAAATAGGCCTACGTTGTAGGCCTATTTATTGCAAGAGTCTATGCACAGAACAAGTGAGCAGATATAACTGGAAAAAAAAGAAAGAAAATCCAAACCAGCACCCAAACCGCAGTATGGGGATACGCCCTCGTCGCTGGGCAGGGATCTATCAAAATGTACCCTGTCCAGCACCAGTTGAGTCTCGGCCATCCCAGGACTCAGGCGCCTCCTATCCTGATAGAACTACAAAAAAGCTAGCTGGCAAGGGACAGAAAAGGGGAAATCAAAGAGAACGAAATAAGTGAGTTTTTAAATGAGATTAGTATTCCATAATTTAGGTGCAGCAACCATGAATAAATGCTCCCCACGACTTTAACCTTCAGGGTGGACTATAGAATGTTGATCTGAGGGTATGAGCGCATGTTGAGGAGCGAGATTTAATATTAGTTGAGAAATGTATTTAGGAGATAACTCATGAATGGATTTGTAAACAAACAATAAAATTTTGAAATCAATACGCTTCTTCACGGGCAACCAATAAAGATGACGGAAAACTGGTGTGATATGTTGACGTTTAGGTGTTCCAGTAACCAACCGAGCAGCGATGTTAAGTAGCAGCTGAAGCTTATTAAATGAAGTTTGAGGCAGTCCATAAAGGACCCCATTACAATAATCCAATCTGGATGTTACTAAGGCGTATACAAGTTTAGAAGCAACATCTTCGTTAAGAAAACATCTAACCTGTGTGATGTTTCAAAGTTGAAAAGATACTCTTCTGCAGATGTTATTAACGTGACGCTTCATGGACATGTATATATTATTGTTGTGTTCCATTATTTTCTTAACTTATATATTAATGTTCAAATGAGTATAACACTATAAGATAAACCATCTGTGATGGCATCCTGTCGAAAACATGATTTAATAAATTTACAAATGTTTCACTCGGATTATCTTAAAATTGATTGCTAGTCGGTAACAAGGACATAAGAACTGTCTTATAAATTGCATCTGTGAATTTGAGAGAAAACTCTTATTGAATTTTCAATTGAAAGCTAAGTACAGTATTTAATAAAATATGCAAATTAAGCAATTTCAACTACTGTTCAATGCGTATTTAGTCTCCCCAACTCAGCGTCGTACATCGCAGTCTGACACGATTTGCTGTCACGTCAGGTCTTTGTGAGTTAAATGTTGATGCAATAGGTCTGCGCCGGGAACACTTGCGTCATAGAATATTAAACATGTTTAATATTCTCACAATGACCTGAAGACTGTCTCCGACGATAAATTGCATCAGGCTGTGTTGTAGGGCGCTGTCGGTGTTGGGCTTCATGATATGTAAATTAATAAATTATTTTTTCCTAAACCCGCCTTAAGCCACATATACACTAGATATGATTACTACAACGACATATCATTGCGTAGTTTGTATTCTTCAACACTGCGCGCATCTGTATACTCAGTACTATACATTCAAATATACTAATGAAAAGAATGTTGCAAGTAAATCTGGTGGAATCCAGATAAATGCGCTTAGTGGGTTGTGAAAAAAACTTGCAACTGATATTTGAGTTCAGCTGGTATAAAGTATGAGTTCATGTGTGTAAACCTGTAGGTGTGTGTGTGTGGCTGTAGACCATAATAAATCTATTTCTTTTCTATCCCATAACCACATGCCTTTCTTGGCCATCCTAGGTAATCTAAGCTTCATTCATTTTCACAAATGCTGTAGAGCGACATTTGTAAGGTTCGTTGTGTACAATCATAGCTTTGCTTAGCAATCTTTCCCTTGCTTGAGGTTATTATACTGCACACATACGAAAAGTAATCCTAGCCGAGCCACGGGGCTCATGTGCGCTGGAGCTTATCACCAGTTTTAAGTATCGAGAAGCGGAGGAGATGCTCTCCCTGGGTGGGACAATTGTCCATCACTGGCTACTTCCAGGAATTTGCTGGTACTCATTGATTGGTTATGATGAGGCAATGTAGTACACTGCTTAGACACAAGTAAAATACTCAGCGAAGGATTTAAACCCCGACCAAGTGGTTGGGAAACCAACCCATTTCCACTGCACTGAACTGCATCCACATAATACAAATAAAATTTCCAATTAGATATCATAACCAAACAGTTTTTACAGTAATGTGTTTGGAAATATGCATTTTGATCTATAACAAAAGACAGGACTGCATGTGCAAACATCAGCTTTCATTGGCTTATTTGAATCAGGCTATTCTCAATTCATTGTCTTAAATACCTGGTAACTATTTTCTTTAGTGGTTTTATTCTTCATACTCGATGGCAACAACTTGTAGAACTGGAAGAAGAAGCTGAAATGCATCCTGAATATATGACATGCTGTTGGAGCCCTGGCAACGAAGCAAACAAAAAAAATAATTTTTTATTTGCTTCTATTTATTTACAAATATATAGTTATTAACAATACTGTATAATCAAATATGATGAGATGCATTTAAGAAAGAGTGAGAGAGAGCAGGCTTAAGCCTATAGATAATTGCTAAGTTTATAACAAAATAATGAATTAAATCTAGGTAAAATAGAAAAAAAAAACAATAAAAATAACTACAAAGCATCAGCCGCTAATACTGGACCTACACACCTACACCACACCCACCATTATGAATATCATCATTACATGTAAACACACTCAGAAACAAATTCATCTTTGGAAATAATTTCATAGTGTAAACATGGTGTTGAAAAGAACATACTTAGATAAGAAAAGAAAGAAAAACATAAAAAAATGTTTTCCCCAGAGCCTGGCTTAAGTATTTACCTCCAAGTAGGAATTTGTAATAAATGAGTTCACATCATCCTCCTCTCCCATGACGTCTTAAGCAACCGTGAGCTGCTCACAGAATGACGACGTAAGGCTACTCACCTCGCAGCATAGTACACTCGTTAACCTTTGACAAGGAAAGCACATCATGGTTACACAATGGTTTATATTTAAGTTCAAACTTAACTTTGACCCCAGTGTACACGTACACTGTAAAAACTGATTTATTTTATTTACTGTAAATACTACAGTTACAATTTGAGTTAAATTCATTAGTCCTGCCCAGACATGAAGTAATAATACAATAGTAGTAATATAATTTATTTGTTCCTTTTAAATGAGCTATAACTTTTTTATTTTTAATTTTTGTTGAGGTATTTTTCTGTACTTTGACGGATTTTAAGTTCAAATTTATCTTTGACCCCACAGTACACAGTAAAAACTGATTTCTTTTATTATTCATTGCAAATATCGTATTAGTTCACAATATCACATTTTATATGCCTAAATATGGTCCTGATGACATCACATCATGACCATATATAGGCACATCATAACTTTATATGGGCATACAACAGTATTTTTTTGTCAAAACAAAAACAAATTTGTAATCCTTGACTCGGATTACACTTAAACAAAATACAACATTTTTATGGAGTGTAAATGGACGGAGGTATATTTGTAAGTCAGTAATTGTTCACTCAATCATATACTTTTATAAGAACTTTATACTTAATCAGCTGGCTGGTATATATAAACACACTCAAAGACTAATCTTACAAATAATTACATAGTGTAAACATGGTGTTGAAAATAACATACTTAGATAGGCTAGCTGCAATTTGGATTGGGTTTCTGAAGTGTTCCTTGGCTTGGTGAAGCAGCATTAATTCTGCTGCTTTGTGAAACTGTTCTATACATCTGGAGGTTAATTCTGCCAACGTCTGGATAGTTTTCACATGGATCTCCTGTATGAAGAAAACGTACAAGAAACTGCATTCCGTACAAATTTCAACTACCTACTGTACACAGCATTACTACGCAAAGCATTTGTGTAAATTTAATTTAATTTGGAAACATGTATAGTAGTATGCAAATTAAACATCTAAGCAATAATTAACACCATCCTTATTTAATCTAAAATAAAATACTTCTATAAGTTATTTGTTTATTTATTTATTGTTATACTTTTTATATTCTTTATTCATAGCTAACACTTGCTATGCTATTTTTAAGTAAATATTCTGTTTACAATGACTATAAATGAATGATGATGAATAATAATAATAATAATAGTTGGATTTGTAAAGCGCATCATGCGAAAAAGCCTCTATGCGCTTGGTGATTGAGCTCTTTGAGTTTGACATTTTGAGAAAAAAGAAAGTTGAAGTTATTTTATGAAACTAATAAAACCTACTCCTTAAACTAAGGCATGGTTGGCCGTTGGCTCCGAGGAAGAAGAATAATAGCAGGCCAGGCACCCAGTGTGTTGTATGATAGTCGGCTGACGAGTCTGCTTCCTGTCAGAGTCAGACGACTCAATGCTGTCCGCTGACTGTTGATGGCAGTCTGAGAATGGATATTCATTAAAAATGATCTGTTGTGCACAGGTTGAAAGAATTGCGTTGTCTTGTTATATTAATGTATGTCTAATTCAACTAACCTTTGGAACGAGGTAACGCATTGGTTTTGATTTTTCTTCGCTCTCATCTTGATTCTTGTGATCTTTATTATCTGCTTCTTTACATGGAGCATCTTTTCCGTCGTCTGCTAGAACATCAATGTCTAGCTTGTCATTTGCTGTATCATCTTTCATATTTGTCTTATCCTCTGCTACTTCATTTTTAGTTTGTTTTTTGTCATCTGCTGAACCATCAGTAGCTTTCTTATTGTCTGCTGTATCAGCCTGAATATGCTTTTCGTCTGCTACATCATTTTCAGTTTGTTTTTTGTCGTCTGCTGAACCATCAGTAGCTTTCTTATCATCTGCTGTATCAGCCTGAATATGCTTGTCGTCTGCTACATCATTTTTAGTTTGTTTTTTGTCGTCTGCTGAACCATCAGTAACTTTCTTATCATCTGCTGTATTACCTTGAATATTCTTGTTGTCTGCTACATCACAAGCTATTGTTATATCTTCCGCCTTATTTGCATTCTTGCTAAGATTTCCTCCTTTTTCTTTTTCTTGTTTGAGGGTTTCTAACTCTTGTTTGCATTCAGCTAACCACTCATGTGCTTCTCTTTGAACCTGAATACAGTGAAAGAGAACCAATCACAAATCATATTTCAAAGATGTCATTAGTAGAAGGTATATATGAACCAACCACAAATCATATTTCAATGTCATTAGTAGAAGGTATATATGAACCAATCACAAAACATATTTCAATCATGTCATCTGTTAAAATCAAGTTAGCAATACTTTGGTTAAAATTAACCCACTTAATACTACCTTGTAGAAAGAATGCATTATATATACTGTTGAATTAAATAATTTCTTTCAACATCCTTCTTCACAGTGACAATATCATTCATAATTCTACTTTGACTCTTCCAAATGTCACTGAGAAGAGACAAAATAGTAGTAGCATTAGTTGCGCAAGTTTGACAGTATACCAGTTAATAGTGGGATCATTTTTCATAATTTAGTTATATTTAGCTTTTCTGACAATCACAGTGAAACCATTGCTCACACATCCCACACAAAACTGCCTTTTCCTCAAACAACAACACCTTAGGTTGGCACATCCCACATAAATCCTTATGATCTGAAACTATAGCTATACCTCACCTTTAACACTCACATCCGTCTTGGGTGGTTTATTTGTCCCGCATTTAGGCTTAGCGCCTTGACCTATTACAGTGGGGGTTTCACTATCATTTGACATACCAGGGAACAGTGAAATTACAGTAATTTCTTTGTTCCCTGGACATGCATAGTAATGTGATGAGAAAAAAAAGAAGATTTTAATGCACAATACTTCGGAGGTTTCACAAACGCGTCTGATCGAGCCGTACGCCCTCTAAGTTTTGATTTTAGTTTTTGTTCTATTTAATGTCAAAAGGTCACATTGTTTGCACATACTATAATGTACCACATTTCAGGAAAAATCAAATATTTAAAAAAATCAGAAAATTAACTTGGCCAGCAAGATTTCAATCAAATTAACATTGTTTTAATGTTGTAGAATCTTTGACATAAGTTTCATCATAGAGAAAATTTCTATTTTCTCTATGGTTTCATCAAGATGATTGTTTTCTCAACATACCCACACTACCACACAAACAGAACTACTACTAGGCTAGGCCCTAGAGGCTATGTGTGTATAATGTCTGTCAGAAGAACCATCCAACCAGCTGGAGTCATGCTGTGGAAGCTAGGGCCCAGGCCTCAGCCTAGGCCTAGTCCTGCTACCTGTAACCATGGAGGAATAAAATATTTTATTCCTCCATGCTGTAACCTAGGTCTAGTCTACCCTGGCGATACAGCACTACAGCAGTATGGTGAGAGAGTCTAGGATAACCTACCCTAGCTAGCCTAGTATTACCTAATTATTAGGCTAGCCGTAGCGCGTGGCCTAGGACTCTTAAGGCTCTATCTAGGCCTAGGCTAGTGAATACAGATCATTTCGGTCGCGCTTCATTTCGGTCGCAGTTTGTTTTCAACAAATATATGGAGCGCCAATGGAGTTTCGAAACGCTAAATTTAATATAACTAGGCCTAATTATCATTGCAAGTTCGTCAATCGGTTTATCATACTTTTTTTATTTATGTTTTGTTGTATTTCTAATAAGTAACAACAGGGTACTTAAAAGCAAATAAAATTGATACTATTATTACTAAACTATCAATTAATATTATCGGACGGTTTTTATTTTCGTTTTGTTATGAATCCTACGCTTTCTACTGCCTAACAAATACAGCAAATAAAATAAATACTAAAATATGATATGATGTTATATATTATTATTATAATTATTATTATTATTATTATTTATTTATTTATTTACATTGTATCTGGAAAAAACAGCCAATTTGTCATTTAAATTACTGTAACATTAGTTTATTAACAATTATTTTTATTAGTATTAAAGATTGTTATTGTTTTTAATTTTCGTTTTATGAATCCTACGCTTTCTACTACATAAAAAATACAGCAAATAAAATAAATACTAAAATATATGATGTTATATATTATTATTATTATTATATTATTTTTTTTAATTTACATTGTATCTGGAAAAACCAGCCAATTTGTCATTTAAATTACACCATAAGCTGTCTCTTATACACATCTAGATGTGTATAATATTACTGTATAACTTGGTGCTATTTTTCTTTTTTTCACAGAAACAACGCAGATGTTACGAAGTTGACCGAGTTTGAGATACGTTTTTTTTGTTCTTGCTACAGTATATATATTGATATAATTTTTATCAATGCTGGAATCAAATAAAAATCTATGGAATAAGTATAGTCAATAGATTAGTTTCGCATACGTTTTTTTTTTTCTTGTCTGTTGCGTTTCCATTTACCACAAATGTTCTGATCATGTTATAATAATATTGTAAAGGAAATATGTATTTCCATGTTTTTTTTCCATATAAAATTATCAATACATTGATAATTGCATGCGGTACATTTTAAAAGCCTTTTCATGCTTCTGTTATATTCATAAGCCCGAAAAAATCACTCAACTTGCTAGGCCTATTTCTTTAGTTGCACAAGTGGAGTTTAATTGTGGAAAGAAAAGTTTCCACATATTTATTGCCATGGTACTCTTAAGGCGAAGATGACACAAGGTTTGTGATTTCTTGTTTGTTTTATTTCCATTTTTGTTACATTATTGCAAAGACAGAATTAGGTCAGATGCTAAAATAGACGACTAGTTATTTCTAGGTACAAACACGTACGCTGAAGCGCAGTTCACCACTTCACGTGCTGTCTCTTATACACATCTAGATGTGTATAAGAGACAGCTACTATGGTAGTCATGCCTCTTTGTGAGTGATGGCATTGCTCTCTAGTGCATGGTTTTTATTGTATGGCCATCACCAAATACTACAAATTAATCTAACCAGCACTGTTTTAACTCTGGTCATGGTAGTTTCATCAGGCTTTGTCAAAACTTTACTGACAAATAGACACAGAAAAGATACAATTTGATTTTTTTAATAACGATACTTCGTTGAGTAATCTTTTGGTGATACTACTAGACCTCGCCCCTTTCGTGCTCCACGAAATACAGTCTCTATGATATCAATCATCTCTTGCTTGTCTTCAAGCGGCCAGTTAATTTTGTTGTTGTTACCCGTTCCTAAATCAATCATGATATGCTTGTTACGATAAAAGAACATTAGAGTACATGGGTCGTACAACTCGTACATTTTATTAAAGTCTGGCACTTCTGTAATATCAACGACGTACACAACTGCAAAGTTCTTCACTTTATCTGCAATGCCAAAAAGCACCTCGTCCATATGACAAAATAAACTAAGCATCCACTGGAAGGAATCCCAATATCTGCAGACGGATCCGTTTCGGCCTTCCAGGCTTCATCAGTGCAGCTAGGGTATAGACCCAAACGAAACGTTCGACCAGCTTAGTTTCGGGCCCAAACTAGTCCCACGACCACTAATGATTACAGAGCCAAACCAAGGCAATATATATACACAGCCCTACCTAAGCTGGTCGAACGTTTCGTTTGGGTCTATACCCTAGCTGCACTGATGAGGCTTAAACGGATCCGTCTGCAGATATTGGGATTCCTTCCAGTGAAAGCTTAGTTTATTTTGTCATTCTGATCGGATTTTCTCTACTGTTCCGTTTTAATTTTATATATATATATATAAAATAAGAAGTCAAACAAAGTTCTGTATCTGTCTCAAAAATAAAATATTTATTGTACTAGTACTTTCGACCATAGGTCATCATCAGGTACTGTTATATATATATATAAATATATATATATATATGTAGTGGTTTCTAGGTATATCCAATATGATAAAATCATATAAATATATATTCATACAGTATTTATGAACTGCGCAGGGGTATTCTAGATTTCAAGTGAATGATAATGTGCGTATTATTCGTTTATTTCTTTGTGTTTCCTTTAATTCTCTTGGTATTTTTTAAACTCTGGAAGCTGCAAGAAAAATAAATATATTTATTGTATAAAATGATCAGTTTAAATATTGAATGATTATTGTTTTAACTAAATTATGAAATAGATTTCAGATGGTAACAATATTCAATTAAATTAAAATCAAAGATACATTTTATTGACCATTTATTAAAGTATAGTATATGAAAATGCAACAAAAAGAATAGCATGAAGCACATACTAAATTCCATTGTTTCAATCACAAGATCCGAAAGGTCCACTGATTAATCTCAGATAAGAAAGTATAATACATACTCCAAGTATTGAAATACACGCCATCGTGTTGGGATTCAATATTTCGACATTAATTATGTCATCATCAGGAACGATCACAAGATCATGTTGCAATCATGAATATATCACCGTAAATGGAAGAAAGAGAATATAGCAGAAAGATATTTTGTTAGTGGAAAGATAGCAAAACAATAATACTTAGGCCTATGATAAATTCACGAACTAAAACATATAGGGCCTAGGCATATTAAATTTTTCGTTTTCGCAACTCCTTCGGCGCTCCATATATTTGTTCCAAATAAACCGCGACCGAAACGAAGCGCGACCGAAATGATCGGCTACCACCAGGCTAGTCGGCCTAGCCTAGCCCCTAGCCTAGGCTAGCAAGGCTAGTCCTAGAGCCTCCTTTACTTCAAAAACATCTTTTTAGCAGTGTTGATAACAAAATTTAAAACTCGTACATACCAAGGAAGAAACATCTGTTCTTAATATAATTATCTTGATTTTTCTTTTCTACAAAACCTGTCAATTCACGGTTGGCCTATGCAACAGAACTTAACTAGCCTTGCCGCGCCTATGCCACGCCTAGGCCTCTTTCTTTAATTAGGTATGCTCGTATTTAATTTTTACCTGAAAAAAAATCTCCCCGAAGCAAATTTGGTACCATTGGAAGCATGATTTTATGTAAATTAAGATAATAATATGCTTCAATAAAAATGATTTGAGCATTTTTTCTTTTTTGAGATTCAAAATGTATTATTTTACTCAAATCTACACAGGTCAGTATGAGCCTCCATACATTTGTTCTTGAAATAGAGCTCGCTGATTGGCTGAAAGTGTTATACAGCCACACACTGAGCCAGCATCGCGAGGAGGGAATTTGAAATGTTTATTATTATTTGCAGGTTAGTATTTACCTCATTTTCTTCCATATGATAAGTATAAATTAGGCATGGTAGATCAATTAATTATTTGTGTAAAGTAATATCAAATCAAGAATAATCTATCAACACAAAATAAGCCTAGGAGTCCTAAACTAGACATATAGCCTAGGTCATGGACCCGGCCCTAGACATATGATTATGAATGATGCCAGTAGTAGTAAGTAACCTAGGCCCTAGGCATACGGCTGTCTCTTATACACATCTAGATGTGTATAAGAGACAGATCCTACGCTTTCTACTACATAAAAAATACAGCAAATAAAATAAATACTAAAAT